ATATATAATTTAGGGATGAGGGATTCCCATTGCACAAGAATGATGAAGCCAGTGTGAACACAAAGTGACTAAAAAAAGGATTATCTCCTTTCGTGGCATCAATTTGTACACTCTCTCTCTCTGGCAAAACTTTGGAGTACTTTGGGAACCCAAATCTTGGGATGTAATGAAATATAAGTTGAATGAGCATCATGCAATTGCCTGAAAAAAAGAAAAGAAAAAAAGAATATCAAACTCAAGATTGAACACAGATGGTTTGGTTTTTGGGTTTTTAGATCTTGGTGTTGAGACGGTACAATTACTACTGTTGCTGCTGCGGTAATAATAATAATAATAATAATAGTAATAATAAGAAAAATCTTTCTTCACGATTGTCTATAAAGAAGCTATTTATTTTTGGTATATAGATGTCACAATCATTCTCACTCATTAGATGTCAAATTGTATGATATAAGATGAGTCACGAACTCCGATAATTTTTATTTTACGGAACTTTATGTCTATTCAACAACACTCTTACAACCACCAATTTTGAAATTTAAGGGACAAGATTGATTGTGGACTCTATATACAAAAGGTAAATAGTCTATTTGTAGACAATCCCTTATTTATTTTTATTAAGACCAAAACAAATTGTCCCACTGGAAAGAACATTTGTCGTTTGGATTCTCTACCATGTTCTTGCTTCCATGCTTTTAAAACTGCATCTGTTCCATCTTCCATGTATCCGAAGGATGCTTTTTTATGATTACTGATTTTTAATAATACGTCTATCTTTCTACCGCTGAGGCTTTTGGATGTTTCTCCTGTTGAAGTTTTTTCATGACCATAAAGAGGAAGGGACGATTTATGAATATAGATATCTTCACTTAAAAGTTACAACTTACTTGAAAAGATATCTTTTTCTATCTATAAATTTGAGAACCATCTAAAAATCACCGATTGTTTTCAAAAGAAAAAAAATTATTTTGACTTTTCTAATGCTTAGATTTTTGTCTTCAAGATTTAGATGGTCTCTATTCAATCTTGAGACATTATTACTTTCAAGCCCATAGACAGTATAATATGTAATTTTTTTAAAAAAATTTAAAGTCATCCTACCCTTTGAAAAGGTCACATCCACATTTTTTATTTCCTAAAACCACTTCTCTAATTGATTTTAGTTGAGGGAATAAATGGAAAGTATGCTCATGTGGGAGTACGAAATCTTCGCGAAATCTTCGGGTTAAAATGAATTTGTACCAATCCAGTCAGTGCTTCTTTATTAAGCGATGATCTTCAAGATTAATTGCAAAGAATCATTGCTCCAAAATCAATTGATAATGAGACCAAAATACACTTTCATGGGCGCAATGGAAGTGAAAGATTCATGTGTCGAATTACTTGTAATAGCCGAGAACCGTATAATGTGTCTGAAGCAGCGTTAGTATCAGTAGCAATGCTGCTGCCAGCAATGATATAAGCGTCCACGGATCACTAAGGTAGGTGTGGATGAAGTAAGCCCTCCACCTGTTACGACGTTTTTTGCAATAGCGCATGAGCCTCGTCCGCACCCCCATCAAGTGGGGATTCTCAAAAAAGACCATCCCCTTTGTGATCCTGTTGAAGATATCGGCCACATCTTCGTTACTTCCCATCGCATTCTCCACGATGCCTGAAGAAACTAGCAGTTCAACATCATTAGCAGTGTCTATTACATCATCCAACAAGCTTACGTATGAGCTGACCCAATTTGAATTCCTGACGCGTAACTGCTCAAATGCCATCATATTTAGGAGAAAGGTTTCCTGTAACATAAACAACAAAACACTTGAAATAAAATCAAATGCCATCATATTTAGGAGAAAGGTTTCTATAACATAAACTACAAACCAGTTAAAACAAAAATAAAAAAAAAAAAACGAAACTCTTTTTTTTTCCTTCTTTTCACAATTCTTAAAATACGTGTATGTATGTTCTTGTAACATTTTTTTTTTTTTTGAATTATCAAAGTGATACTCTGCATCATAGCCACAAAGGGCTCGATCTAAGGAAACGATTACAAGAACCATCTTAGGTGGAATACTCTTAGGGGTCAAGGTTCAAAAATGGTTTCATAAACTTTAGTGTGGGGAGGGTCAAGGTTCAAAAATGTTTTCATAAACTTTAGTGTGGGCAACAATTCCATGCCCAAGAGAACTTCAATTTACCAAGTTTAAAGGGAGAATATTTTATCCATCGAAAGGTAGACTGCTACGGTATTTACCTTCCCCTTTTTTTTGAGGGTATTTAGTTTAGCAAAGATTTGGCACACCAAAGATATTTGGGACAAAGGAGACGTGTGAAAATAAATTGTTTCAGGATATAGAAAATGATATAAATATGGATAATTCATTTTAAGAAAGAATGAATGACACCAAATCTAAGGGGCCTTGTTTGACAAAATTCTTTTTTGCCCTTGAATGATTTCCACCACCTTTTTTTATTGTTTTATTTATTTATTTATTTATTATTTTTTAAAAAATTTCTTTCAACCACTTTTTGGGGCTATTTTGGGGGTGGTGCATGACTTGTCCGAGTAACTAGGACTCGGCCAAGGGCCTCCATAGGCCAAAACATATCCAACTAAGATACCAAAATGAGTGGAGGGTGGACACTGTAGCAAATCCAGCCTTAAGGGACGCAGTGTTTTCCCTAGTCTAGAAGTGAGTTCTAGAAACACTCATATAAGTTTTTTTTTTTTAGAGTTCTAGTTGGAATTTAGTCCTACAAATCAAACCCAACTCTTGGAGGCACACCACAGTGCTTGCCGCATTGGATACATGCAATATGTGTCAAATTAATCATAGAACATTGCATTAAAAAAACTAAAATAAAATACTTTGATGCACTCAAGTTTTTCATATCTGTAATGTTTTCAACACATCCAAAACATGTGCTGAATCGGAAATAAGAAATAGCAAATAAATAAAACAGATACTTAAATATCGGAAATAAGAAAATCTGAATTTTCTTTCAATTGCATATTTTCGGTCTTTTATAGATACAAAACACTAAAAATTTGATAGAACCACGGTTTTCAATTTTAATCTTACCTTGTGATCCGCTGTGGGCTTGGTTGAAAGTAGTAGGGTTTAAAGCACAGGAATTAGGCTTAGACTAGGCAGCAGTGGTTATTTCCCTAGCCTTGGACTATTCAAACCAGGCTATATTACAAAAAAAATTCGAATGAAAAAATAGAGAAACTGAAAATCAAGCAATTCCATGGATTTCTAAACCAAAACCATTCACCTTTTGATTCCGATCTAATTCGGCTGATTTTGAACTAGATCTGTAATGTTTGAATCACTGTGATATTGTGTTGACAGTTGCTACACTACATTCATTATGGGGGGCGAAGATATTTCATTTTTTTATATGAATGTTCATGTACGTCCCTCCCACCGCAATAGATAAACCAACGGGCGATCAAGATCACATTATTGACTGAACCTGTTAGAGACCTAGTCAAGTCAAAATTTGTATGATTGTTATTCGAAAAATTAAATGCTTGATTTCAAAAGATAATAAATTTTAGATAATAATTTAAAAATATAAAAAAAAAAAGTCGCCAAATTTTGGATGGACAATTTAATCAATAGGACTTACCAAACATGTCAAATATTAGTTTTATTTGATTTTTGACTAAATCCAATTTTTGCTCTAAAAATCAAACCAGCAACCAGTCATGAGAACTATGATACGTACCGTAGATCCATGAATGGCTATCCATGGTAGCCGTAGTACTCCGTGCTCGAAGGTGATGTTCATGAGTCCACTCTTGCTGCTAATTTCGAACCTCACCCCAGCTTCATGCAACTCCGTGGCTGAGGGCAACTTCTTGAAATATGGCTCCGGATCGCTCAACTCCTCGACGTCAGGAACGTCACCACACAGATTGTGCATCATGTAAACTTGTAGCGTATGCAACCCCATCTTGCCCTTTAAAACCTCCCCTTCGATCTCCTCCCCTAATAGCTCAAGCATTAGCTCATTCACCCGGGTGCAGATCCTTGTTCCGAGTGGGTCTAATAGAGTGTTCAAGACCATCAAAGGGATCTGATTCTCCAGAATCAAAAGGTCATGATAACTGTTGTGGTGCGCAAAGAACAATGACGATTTTGACCCGAACACCGGATCCTCGGCTGCATAGCCTGTCTCGCCGTCTGTTTGGCTGACACGATGGAGTTCAAGCAAGAAACAGCCGTCGAGCAGCATCATGTCAAGCAACTCGGGGCTGTTGGGAGGGGCCAGGTCGTTTGGCCACTCGTAGCAGCCCCGGATCGCCTGCTCCTTGGCTTGGAGCGCACTCAGATAGACTTGAAGAGGGTGCTCCGAGCGGTCGAGGAAGTGGAGGAGCGCACGGCGCTTGTGTTGCTCCATGGGTTGGAGGTGCGGGGAGCCATGGTGGAAGGGCCCCAATGATACAACCCTGGGAATGAATGCTTCTTTGTGGAGCTCTTTCAGGAAGCCTGGCACTTTGTAAATGCAGCGTCGTTTCCATTCCTCAGCCTCCTTCTCTCTGTTTATAGAGAGCTTCCCATTCATCAAATCCAACATCCAGTGCGTCTGTGATTGCTCCCTTCCTGTTCCCCCCATATTTGTTTCTTGTGTCATGAGCCTTCAGAGCTTGAGGGGCTCTACTTTTATACACAGTCGTCTTTAGAGCTTTCGTTATACACAACTTTGACAAGCTGGTCCTGAGACCACACAACGAATTATTATAAAATAATCTTGTCAGGACCAAACTGGACCAATCAGTGAGGGCAGCGGCCTGGTTGGACCGGCTGAATGGACTATGTCTCGGGCCTGTCTCGGAAATTAAATAATTAATAAAATAGTCATATAAAAAATTTGAGAAAGCATAGAAAAAGAAAAGAAATAAAAAGAGACAATTGTAAAAAAAATAAAAAAACCGAAGACTACATTAACTATGCAACTTACCTCGACTTAACTTTTTTTCTAACGTTTTTCTCCAAAACAAACTTTCTAGGCAAAGAGAAAAAGTTCATTTTTTAAACGGAAATGCCTTCATTGTACACAAAAATCAATTTGGCCATATTTGACGATGACTTTCAGACCGCACTAGCACATTGCCGAAGCGTAATATCGTACTGTCGAACCGAAACTGAGTACTGTCGGACCACCCTTTGCAACTGCCAGCCTAGTGACTCAGAAGTTCTTTGGCTGAACAGAGCCCTTTGCAACTGCAGGAGCACTGTGTCTTCCGAACATTTACTTTCAGACCGCATTTACACACTGCCCTCATGACTCTAGAGTGTTCCACTGCCATACCGCACTTACACAGTGTCGGAGTGATGTGATTCCATAGTGTTCCAGACTGCACTTACACAGTACCGGAGCCTGTAACTCTAGAGTGTTCCACTAACGTACCGTACTTAACAGGCGCACTTGATCAACTGCCGGACCACTCACATAGTGTCGGAGCGGATAGAGGCCAGAGAGGTGTGGGTAAGCTAAAAGTAAGGGAGGCTATTTAATGTATTTTTTAATTTATTTTTTGGTTGGGGGTAGTTGTATAGCAAGTCTAGTTTGAGAAAAAAGTGAGAAAATAACTTTCGGTGGGGGTAAGTTGTATGACCAGTGTTGTCTTTTTTTTTTTGGATAGAAAAACAAGAAGAAATCTTACAAATTCAAAAAGTATTACAAATATTCGATTCCAAAGAAACCCCCTTTCTCAATTCTATTCAACAAACAATCAAACCCCCAAAATGTGCCTTCACAATACGCATTTGCCCTCTCGCTATAAAACACATATGATCATTTCTTATCTTTGTTTTATCTACTTTTTATGGTAGGAGTATTCAATTTCAAATAATTCCAGACATAAATAAGCAAAAGAAAGTTTAGAAATTTGACAAATGTAGTTTTTTTGCTTTTCTTTTCTTTTTTTTGCTTTTTTTAGGTTTTGTATATCGTTAATGAGTTAAACAGTTAAAAGCATTTTCTAAAGAAATAGGAAAATGAAGAAAGAAAAAATGATAAAAAGAGAGTACAAAACACAACAATAAAGTATATTATTGCCGGATTGTCGCCGGAAAGTAAAGCACAAATGTTTTTCCTAAACACAACAAAAGGAAAAACAAAAAAACCATTTTCTTCATTACTTTTGTATTTTCTAAAGTAAAAATTAAAGAAAAAACTGAAAAATACTCACCCGATGCGAGCCCTTGGCGGACGTCTTGCCTGCAACGTCACGAAAATCTTGCCGGAAAACTAGCCGTGAGCCCTTCAGTGAAGGCTAGAGAGAGAACCCTTTCTGCTCTCTTTTAATCTCTTTTTAATAACGAGGCCTAAGTGCAACATTCCTAGTTTACCCTTTACTAATTCAATAAGACAAAAAGGTCCCCCTACCACCCAATTATTGGAAACCTAAAAATATATTGTCCGTGTAATACATAATACATTACTCGTAAATGGATTATTACTGTTTGTGTAGTATTTAGATGCATTTTAAAAAATATAATGTTATTTTTTAGTTATATCTGGAAGAAATATAAAAAATGTATTATCAACGTTTTACTAGCACGTGCTTATAAACTATCATTTTTTTCTTTTTTGTCACAAAAATCCACTAAAATGCATAATTATCATTTCTTTTTTTTTGTTACAAAATTCTACTAAAATAATGAATTAGTACTATTATCACACCATTCCAAAAATATTTTTAATAATAACATTAGCACCATTTTAAAAAGATTTTCTAATAATAACTTATACTATTTTACAGTCATGACACTATTTTCTATTTATTTTAAGTGCCTTTAACACTTATATGCAATCACATGTTTTCTAACATGACATTGGTTTCAACATGATAAGTCATTGGAACAATATGATTGGAATAAGATAATTTTATTATGATAAGCCTTATTTTTATTTATTTTTTATAGAAATCTTTTAAATGTCTCTTTATATAATTTCAAATAAACAATAAATTTATGATACTAAATTCAAAATTTGTAGGGTACGAGTTAAAAAATAGGGTAAAGTTTGATTAGTAAACTAGAAGGTTTGATAATTGCAGTATAAAATTTTGAGATATTGGAAGAGTTCAATTGAGATTTTAGTTATCTTTTATAAGGATTATGTTGTGTGAAATTTTTTATTATGATTGTATCGTGTAATTTATCATTGATTATTGATTTTTATTTTTATCATTTTTATTTTTATATGACAATCCTTCAGATGAAGGGACAAGCTTCAAAAAAAAAGTGATCATATTACGTTGTGTAAAATCTTTTATTATGATTGTATTGGGTAATTTATCATTGATTACTAATTTTTATTTTCATTATTTTATATGATTGTATTGGGTAATTTATCATTGATTACTAATTTTTATTTTCATTATTTTTGTTTTTATATAAGAGCTTATGCTTTTAGATAGGGGATGCGTTTAAAAAGAAGAGATCACCTAGTTATTATGAAGAGAGAGAACTTAAAAGATTTTTTTAATCAAAGATAGGGTATAAAAAAATGTACGCGACCGATATCAAAAATTACCCGTCACTGTCGTAATAAATTTTTCACCTATAACTGTACATAATGGATTTCCTAATTTTTTTGGAATCTCTTTCAAATTTTTTACGATTAAGTGTACAAAAGAGTGAAAATGCCATATTAACCTTTTGTAACGTAATAGATTTCCGCCCTGAGTAAATAACAAAACGAAAACGTAAACGGCAGAAAACCTCCAAGGAGTGTTTTATAAAAAAGTGAAATTATTTTATGGTCGCGCATGAACAGTCTTTCCGTTTGCTCATTCAGCTGAAAGTCAAGCAAAGAGGACGTCATATTTTTTGGGATTTAACCTCACCAATCTCCACAAAATATACAAATCATACGACTTCAAAATAATAAAAATAAAAAATAAAAAAAAAGAAGAAGAAGAAAGACAAGATCTGAGAATCAACAAACTCAAAATTCAATTTTTTTAAAAATCATCTCGTGATTTACGGATGGATCTCACAATTTAATATTGACAAAAAATAAAAAGAAAAAAATCCCGCAAGTGGCTCATTTGCTATAAGGGCTGAGTGTCAAAGAACTCAAATATCCTTTCCTTTCCTTTTTTTAATTGAAAAAATACTAAGTAACTGTATTTCCCAAAGGAGTTAGTGTACAGTACACAACCATAGAAGCATGCTATTCACACTATTATAAAAATATTCCATGGGTTAGCTTGGTTAACTCGGATGAGACTGGTGAGCCAAGTCCCCCACTGAAATTGGCGAGTATTATAAAAAAATGGTTTTTTTTCATTTAAAAAAATATTGGAAACTCTTGGATATACAGGTTCAGAAGGCTTTCAATGGCTTCCCAATCTAAGACTGCAAATCGATGAGTTATTTCCTACAAATCACGGGAAAATCTTACCGTATTTTTAAATAAAAGTCCCTAATTCACAACATCCATGAAATCCACAATTTTTGGGATGTTTAGAATTTAAGCATCCAAAATTATCAACTATCTTACATTTTATGGGTCAAAGGGATTTTTGGTGGGATATTTATTAAAATACCCAAAAGTTATCAACTCAATTTACCCATCTCTTTTGGCTTATTTTCAAAAAGCCCATCGAAATACACATAATCATGAGTTTGATAATAGTGTTAAAAATCGGTAAGATGTAAGATAGTTGATATGTGAGGTTTTTTCCTTTTTTTTTTTTTTTTGTTTTACTTTTTTTAAAAAATTTTGAGATCCATTTAAGAATCACTATGATTATTTCCAAATAATGGAAAAAAAGGGTTTTTTGAGTTTATAAACACTTAGATATGCCCATTCAAAAACTAACTGCCCCAGATTAATATTTTCACATTGAGTTTATCGGACACAAAGTCCAATTGATTATTTTTTTTAATATTTATCCTTTTGAGATTTGTCTCTAGGTCTATGTGGCTCCATCTCAAAATTTTGGGAGATAAAAGTTTACTGATAGAAGGAGTAAATGAACGACATGCAACTAAGAGGGCATGAAAAAATTTTCGTTTTTCCAAGGTCCTTTTTGCTTATAAAAGTATACCAACCCGAAATTGAGAACCTAAAAGTACTCTTAGATAAGTTTTCACCCAAGGGAGTAAATGGACAATATGCTCCCCTAGAAGCATAAAGCCTTTTCGCATTCAGCTGATCAATAAAATACAAATCAAAGAACGTGGGGGTAAAAAACAACTCAAAAGACGGAGAACATATCGTATATTTCAATGTACTCCCTCTTTGGCCAACTAATCACGCCATCAATTTTCTAAGGTCTTCAATTAGATACCACCTCTTTTGTTTCATGAATCGCCTTATATACCACCTAAAGGTACCCAAAAAAGTTAATTAATTAAACAAAAGGTAATTATATTAAACTATGAATGAAAAAATAAAAATTAAAAGCTGGAGCGGTTTGACACAAGCCCCCATGCGAATGTCGGTATATATAGGGAGCTTACCTTAAACAATTCAAGTAAGATGCATCTTTACATTCTACAAGAAGATGTAGCTCTAATACTCTAAACTCTTTTAATAGCTTCAAAACTATTTTTATCTTTAATTATAAAATTTAGAACTAAAAAACTAGTATAGATCAAGCAGATCCATCAACACTTAGAGAATTTTCACAAGAGATGGTTTAAATGATGTATTATAAGTTGCATTAACTTTAAAAATTGAATGTTGTTTTTTTCATATCTATGTATCTCGAGGTTGAGATAATCAATCGAAAGGTTTTCCAACCTTATAACAACATTTTCTAATTTTCTAATGGATTTTTAGAAGAGCCTTCAACAAGGTCAACACCTTATACAAACTTTTTTAAACTACTTTTGAGTAGGTGCTAACGGGGAAAATATGCTAAGTAACGTGTGAAGGAGCACGCACAGTGACTCAAGGTTCATCAACTTCTCACACTACACCATGGGCATAGGCAGCACTAATGTTTTAAAAAAGGATTCATAATAATATTTGGAGTGGCATCTTATGAAGAACAACCCTCATTTTGGAGTAGCCCACCCTACTAAGCAAAAGCTCCCAGGTTTGTAATATTGTGGCCATGGTTATTTTTAAACCTAAAAAAGTCAAGGTAATTACGTCTATCCAATTTGACATCTAACCGTCAAGATTAATTGTGACCATCTTATACCAAAAGTAAATGATTTTTTCTATATTTTCTCTATTTTTAAATGTAAAAAAGAACTGACATTGAAAAGAGAAACCCATTCCCCATTCCTAAAACTAAAACGTTATTTTGGATAGGGTAAGTAATAACTTAGGGGGCCAAGTTATGGAGTGATTATAATAGGCGCCAACCAGAGTTTTCTGAGCTCTCTAGGTTGTTCGAAACTTTGAATAGAAATCCAAGGAAGAGAGAAAAAATAGGGATGGCAACAGGTCAGGCTAGAGCCGGACTCATACTTCTATAAAGAATATTAATTTCAAAAGTCCAATTTCTTTAGGACTCCATAAAAGCATATTAAAAAATGATTCCTAAAAAAAATAACCCATCCTAAATAAGTGAATCTCAAAGCTTTGTAGAGAATTCCCACCAATATTAGGATGTGCCAAATAGGGCTCCCATAGTGGGCCCCATGCACACCCCAATGGGCCCTCATCTTATTACATTAATTTTAAAATAAGAAAATCAATTTTTAGTACTTGGGTAATAGACTTTAATTTTTTATAATTATTTAAATACCAAAAATTGAATATTCCTTATTTATAAATTTATTTTACAAAAATAAGCTATCTAGATTCTCTCAAAAATTTAAATAATTATTTTAAAAATCAATTAGCACCAAAATAATTTTGATGGAAATAAGATCCATTGTCTAAAAATTAATAATTCTAAAGCATTTCATCTTCTACTGTAGATTATAATTCATATTTGTTTTCTCAAACAGGCCCAGCAGTTTCCATGACCCATAGACCACTGTAGAGGTTCATGATTAGGCTAGTAAAAGTCAGTTAATATGCAATGGGACATAATCTTAGTATATGGATTACAGGTTCTTCTCTAAAACGAACTCATAGTCACCAAGACCGAATGCAACCACAGCTCTATGGTGCAGAGGGGTAATTTATGGTACATGTGCATGCTACACCCTCAATGATATATTATTTTTCTGATATGGCTATTATATGTACATGGCGTATGATGGTTCAGTGGATGATTTGGCCATCGTCTCTAGAGGCCAACCATCATACACAAGGATCATACAGTCCCTTGGTTTATTCCCGTAGACAACTCTAACCTCATAAAGGGATAACCCATAAATCCTCATATGTTTTATTCCATGCTCAGGTAATAAGGTTCTCGAACTCGACTATCCTATCACATCAAACCAAGTTTGAGAATCGACAAATAACATTTGCCTATCTCGGCCCCTCTAGACCATAATCTTTTGGTCCCTCCGAAACACATTCCTACTAGAGTTCTTTGTTCCACTATATCAAATATTGATTATATGCTCTCATAATGGCTACATAAACCCAACAATAGATGTGCTATTTAAGGGGAGAGAAAGAGATATGGGTATGATAGCCAAAGCAGAGGGTCTAAGAGTGCGACCTTTTCCAATTTTTTGTTAGTTCAACAACAATAATCAAACTTAAAAATAGCATTGCCATTGTCAACTGCTTACCACTCATGCCCAAGACCGATTCTTTAGCTATTGACATGATTTAGAATAATTGCCAACTATCGAGTACAGAGACTAAAGCCACATAACAATCAATAGATGCTCTGCAACAAGCTGGAAGATGGGCATCCATGAGTCACTCACTAAGCCCTCCACCTGTTCTGCTGTCTCCTGCAATGTTCAATTGTCTTCCTCATCACCTCTTTGAAAGTATCATTACGAAGGGCTATCCCATTGCAATGTCAGTGAACATTTTCGCGACCTCCTCCGCACTCCCCAGCATGTTATCTACTATGTCTGCAGACATAACTGTACATCCTTTCCGGTGTCTATAAGGTGCCACATAAAGGCTACATACGATGCAAACTCGGTTTCTAACTCTACGTGCAATTGCTTGAGCGCCGTGAAGTTCAAGAGCTCCGATTCCAACACCAGCAAGAAACTACACAACCCCAAATTAGAAAAGAAGTTAAAAGTAACAAAAAAGTGTCATTACACAACTAAAACGCCGCTTTATAATTTCAAAATTACAACGATTCTTCTTCAAAAACATTACTAATTAGAGGGCCTAACACCTCCAACAAATTTTCTTTTTTTTGGGGGATAAATTACACAACAAACACCTTAAACTACAGTAGTAAACCCAACGTTTGAAAAAGATTTAACAATAAACCATATAACTTGAGGGGTTGATGCTTATTGGTTTTGAAACACTCTTTCCCGTCACTCACCTCTGCATGTAATATGCTAAGCTTTTCCTCGCTCTCTCTCTCCAAGTAGAAAGACAACGAAACAGTATTTCCCACCATCTTTGTTCGGGAGAAATAGCACTCTTCAAGAAAAAGTGAAGGAGCAGTTTGAAATAGGCGCCAACTCCAGGTTCTTTGGTGTGCACGCCAGGGGTATGTTTTCTTTATTTTATTTTCATTCATTTAATTTTATTTTTAATTTGACTTTTAGATTGATTTTGTTTATTTTCAGTTTTAGGGTTTTCTGGTAGGATTTTTGGCGATATTAAGTCGGATCTACAGGTGATTCTTAAAGATCCTAGATCTCTCATGACCTGGAGTCTTTCTGAATTGTAATTTTATGGATCCCACTGATTTCCTACTGATCTTCAATTTGAACTCATAAATATACTCAGGTTTCTTCCTAGGTATCGCTGGATTTGTAATGTAAAGAGGGAAATAATCCAATCGTGTTTAAAGAATTCAAAGATCCATGATTAAAGAGTTTGAAATGGCCGTCATTCCGTCCATATCTTATTTTCATCGAAGTTGAACAAATGGAGATGGAGTTTTTACATCACAAAGGGCTTATGCAAAAGAAATTCTCTAGCATTCAAAAAAATAAAATTGCAATTCGGTAAATATAACAATGAATTGATGGGATCAAAATACATTTTCATGCAATGGGTGCAACAAGAGGTTGTCTTCATGGGTTGAATTAGTAGTAATAGCTGAGCACTGTATATAGAGTCTGAAGTATCGTTAGCAGCAGTAGGAGTGCTGCTGCCAGCAGCGATATAAGCGTCCATGGGTCACTAAGATAGGTGTGGACGAAGTAGGCCCTCCACCTGTTACTGGGCACCTTGCAATGGTGGATGAGCCTGTTCCGCACCCCCATCAAGTGGGGATTCTCAGAAAAGACCATCCCATGGGCTATCCTGTTGAATATATCGGCCACATCCTCCTTACTTCCCATTGCATTGTCTATGACGCCTGAAGAAACTAACAGTTCAACGTCATTAGCAGTATCTATCAGATCATCCAACAAGCTTACATATGAGCTAACCCAATTCAAATTTCTGACGTGCAACTGCTCAAATGCCATCATATTTAGAAGAAAGGCTTCCTGTAACACAAACTATTAAATAGTTAAAACAAAATAAAACCAACTTTTTTTCTTCCTTTATTTTTGCAATTCTCAAAGTATGTGTGTGCATGTACGAGTTTCTATAACAATCATTTTTTTTTTAATTATCAGAGTGATACTCTCCATCGTAGCCATAACAGGCTCATTCTGTAGCAACGATTACGAAAGCCATCTTAGGTATACCAATTGGGGGTGCTCTTGGCTCAGTGGTGTGGGTTTTAGGGGTCAAGGTTCAAAAGAGGTTTCATAAACTCAGGGTGGGCAACTGGGCCATGCCAAAGAGAACTTCAATTTACCAAGTTTGGAGGGAAAACATTTTATCCATCCAAGGCTAGACTGCTACATTGTTTACCTTTCCCTTTTTGGAGGGTTTGTTGATGGGCACAGTTTTGGCACACCAGTGGTATTTGGGATAGAGAACAAGATTGTGAAAAAAAACAGGAGAAATAAGCTAAGGAATGTTTCAGGATATATGAAATATGGGTAACTCATTTTAGGAAAGAATTAATGGTACCAAATCTAGGGTGGACACTATAGTAATTCATCCTTAAGAGTGCGTTTGTTTGAAAGATATCTTTTGAAAAGTTGAATGTTTTGTTCATGAAGGTTTATATAAGTTTTAGGTACTGTGTTTGATAACATATTGGAATGTTAAGAAATTTGCGGGTACTAGTATGATAACATATACATATTAACCATATAAATATAAATATATAACATATATAACATAGAGTGATTTACATATGGACCCTAATATTTTAGGTAAAATACAAAATGCTCCGTTTATATGCAAAAATTACATAGCAAGTCGGTCAATCAGGCTTTTTTATTTTTTTCAAAATTGTCCCTTAGTCAACCCGAATTTTATTATTATTTTGTTTAGTTTTTTTCGTTAGGAGGCAATGTCCCAAACTTTAAAGAATTGCCCTACTAACGAAAAAACTAAAAAAACTTAAAATTCGAGTTGACCGAGGGGTAATTTTGGAAAAATGAAAAAGACAGGTTCACCGACTTTCGTTGTAATTTTCGCATATACGCGGAGCATTTTATATTTTACCTAAAATTTTAAGGTCTGTATGTAATTCACTCTATAATATAAGATATATATATATATA